ACACAAACTTATGGATATTAAACAACTCTTACTGAATGAGTGGATCAATCGAGAAATAAAAAAATTTCTTGGAACTAAATGAAAATAAAAACACAACACAAAAACATCGGAGACGTTTCACAAGTAACCGTAAAATGGAAATTTATAGCTTTAAGTGCCTACATCGAAAAATTTCATAAAAATAAACCCCAATTTAAAAAATAAGAAAGAGCAGAAGTAAATAACTTACTGATGTAACTCACATATTTGGAAAAACAAGAACAAATCAAACCCAAACCCAGTCCATGGATAAATAATAAAAATCACAGCAGAAACTAATAAAATAAAAGCAAAAAATTTAGAAAGAATCAATGAATCTAAGAGCTGATTCTTTGAGAACATAAAAAAAGATTGACAGATCCCTGGTCCAACTAAACAAAAGGGAGAAATATACAAGCCAAATTAGAAACAAACAGAAAAACATAAAAAAACAAATAAATTCAGAATAATATAAAGGAATATCTTAAAATATTTACTCCATTAAGTTAGAAAATCTTAAAGGAATAAATGAATTTCTTGATTCACCCAAATTATCAAAATTAAATCAAGAAGAGATCAACAACCTATACTAAACAAGGAGATTGAAACAGTAAGCCTTCTGTCTTTAAAAAAAATAGTTCAAACCCATATGGACTACTCACAGAATTCTACCAGACTTTCAAGATCTATAGGCAGTAATTTTTAAATTATTCAAAAAATGGAAACAGAAGGAAACTTCTTTTAGGAAGTCAGTATTTATATATTACAAAAACTAAGCAAAAGCACCAAAAAAAAAAACAAACAAACAAACAAAACACTCCTACAGGTCAAATTCCCTGATGAATGTAGATTCAAAAACCATAAATAAAATATTTACAAATAGAATACAGACATACATCAGAGAGATTGCCCACCCTGACCAAGTTGATTTTATCTCCCAGATGAAGGTATGGTATAACATACATAAGTCAATAAATGTGATAAACCACCTAAGTGAACTTAAAAATAAAAATCACATTATCATTTCAATGAATGTCAAAAAAGCCTTTGACAAAGTCTATCATATCTTCATGATAAAAGTCCTAGAGAGAAGAGAACTAGAGGGAACATACATCAGCATAATAAAAAATATGTATGAGAACCAAAGCCAACATAATTCTAATAAGAAGGGAGATCAATACAGAAGGAGAGGGAGGTAATAAAACTAATATTAAGGATATCTGAAAAAGCTATAAAGAATTATATTATTACTTATCTAACATTACATATAATACATAGAAGTCTCTTTCTATATGTGTGTGTAGAGGGTTTAAATGAAAATTTTCCCAACTGGACATATAACGCACCCCTTGAGCCATAGATTGTCTAATAAAAACTTCAAGGCTAAGTATAAGAAGCCCTCCTGAGTTGTTGTCAGGGTTGTCCAAGAGACTCTCAAAACATTATAGGCTACAGATCTTGCCCTTGTTGCTTCCCAAAGGTTTAAGACAAGTCCCTATTGCTGACGAAGCCATATAGGATTCAGAAGATTCAAACTGGATCTGACCTGAAAGTCTCTGCCTCCTGCATGAAGACCAGCTTCTGGTACCATGCAAGTTTCCAAGGGAAGGAAGCAAACAAGAGTCCTAGCCTACTATAGTATCTATTAACTACAATAATGACTAGCATGGCATAAAACCCTAAGGGTGCAGTAGTGGCATGCATACTTTTGCACTAACCAGTAGCTCTCTAATTAGACTTAAGACCTACTCAACAAGAGTGAAATCATGCCTAGTACTGAGAACCTACCCACCAACCCAGGGCTAGTGACCACGGATCATGAAGGAGAACCTACAAACTTCTACTTTACTAAACCAGCATATTTCCTAACTTCATCCTAAATATTTATTCTTATATCCACAGATGTGCATACTTCTCAACCCTCATCAGTGAACTACCTCTGTGCCGCAGACAGAGAATGTTACAGAAAAAGCACAACTGATCAAAATGCAGAGTTGTGGAGCTCAGTTCCAAGTGTATTTCAACTCCTGGACTAAAAGTTCAGGGAACTTTACAGAAGGGGTGACAGAAAGATTGTAATAGACAGGAAAAGGAAGTCTGCTGTGAGACTGTGTGTCTCTTCGAAAAATGTCAGGGTAGCTATGTACACGAAATCTCATCAGCAGGACTGCCTAAACAAAACCTGAACAAGGACAACATGCTAACATGGAAGGAGAAAATCACATGGGGCTTCAACCATAAACAAAGAACTACAGGCAACTAAGAAATGCTGAGAACAGGAGAAATAGTCCTCCCCGGAGAAGAGAACATCAACTGGCTAGCCACTACCAAGTGTTCTGCCCTGAAATCATATACATACAAGTATCATTGTATGGAAGGCGCTGGTTGTATTTACATATTTAGGTACACACACACATACACTGTGGTAGGAGAGAACGGGCCCTTTGTTCATCCCGCCCTGCTAGCTTACGCCAGAAATAACCACACAGGAATTGTATTAATTAAATTACTGCTTGGCCCATGAGATCTAGCCTCTTATTGGCTAAGTCTCACATCTTGATCTAACCCATTTCTATTAATCTGTGTTCACCACGAGGTAGTGGCTTACGGGCATGAGTCTAACCAGCATCCGTCTTGGGAAGGCGTCTTGCCACTCTGCCCTTCTTCCCAGCATTCAGTTCTGTCTGCTCCACCCACCTAAGGGCTGCCCTATCAAAAGGCCAAGGCAGGTTCTTTATTCAACCAATGAAAGCAATACAAATACAGAAGGAACTCCTACACCAATACAGACACGTGCACACTTATACAATTAAAGAAATAGAAGTCACGTATCTGAGAGAAATCAAGGGGCTGCATGAAAAGGGTTAGAATGGAAAAGGGGGAAATGATGCAATGATGTAATTTAATAAAGAAAGAATTTCTGCTCCATAAGAGACCTGGCCTATCTAGATCTGTATTCCTATAACTTGGACCAGTGTCTCGTGCCTATCAATCACTTTAAAAATTAGTATCATGGAAGTTTTTCATTAGCTACTTTTCTTATCTGTGTGATAAAATACCTTGATAAAACAACTCAAGAGAAGATAGATTCATTACAGATTCTGGCTTAAAGGGATATCGTCCAGCAAGGAAGGGAATGTATGGAGAAGGAGTGGCACATGGCTATAGTGGTGAGTGGACCAGGGGACAGAGAAAGAAATTCACAGTGGCTTTTTTCTCCTTTTCTCTTTTTATTCAGCATGGGACACCAGCTCATAGGATTGTGCCATTCATATTCAGAGTAGGTCTGTAAGAGCCCCCAGAGTCATGCCCAAGGTGCACCTTAGTACTGTGCCTTGCTCTGCACCCTCCTCTTTTTTCAAGATAGTCTCACTATGTAGCCTTGGCTGGCTTGGAGCTTGTTCTGAAGAGGGGCTAGCCTCAAATCACAGATTCACCTGCCTCTTCCTCCCAAGTGCTGGGATTAAAGGTGTACACCACCACACTCTACTCTATGCTTTTCTTAATCCAATTAAGATGACAACAAAAATCAATCATCACTATTTTCAAACATCCACTGACATAGGGTTAAGAGTACAATGAACCACATGTTCATTGACCTAGAGTCAACAAGTTCGATAATGTCCCATTTTTCTTTATTCTGCTCCTTCCCCTGGCTCTGTTACTTCAGCATTTAAGACAAATATTAAAACAATCACAGATATTTTAGTGTGCATGAATACTTTGAAAAATAATAACTACTATGACATTACCTCTCTAACAAAATTAAGTCCTTAATGTTTGCTGATTAAAATTTCCTCACCTGTCACATTGCCTCTTAACAGATAGCTGCTGAGTTAGCAAATGGTGAAGAAATGAACCAAGTGCCTGGCAGCACCCTTTCCAAAGCATGATGCAGCAGAAGGGCCTTGCTTTCCAAAGCTTCAAAGATGGAGAGCCATCTCTTCAAGTACGACTTTATTTATCCAAATGAAATCCGAGAGGAAAACTCCTCCAAGTGTATTTATTTAACCACAGAAATGGTGATTCAACTTCCTTTTTTTTAAGATTTATTTATTTATTATGTATACAGCAGTCCTTCCATGTATGCTTGCATGCCAGAAGAGGGCACCAGATCCCATTATGGATGGCTATGAGCCACCATGTGGTTGCTGGGAATTGAACTCAGGGCCTCTGGAAGAGCAGTCAGTGCTCTTAACCTCTGAGCCATCTCTCCAGCCCCTCAACTTCCTTTTTTTTATTACTATAAGGATGTTCATAGCAAACTGATTCAAACTAGCTAAGCATTGGAAACAACCCAAATGTGTATCAGCCACTGAGTAGATAACCAAGCTGTTATATTCATACAATGTATTACTACTAAGCAATACGAAGAATGAAATACACAGTAATATGAATGAACATCACAAATATTATGATGATTAAAAGGGTACATACTTGGTTCCATCCACTTATAAAAAATTATAGAGCAGGCAAAATTATCAGAGTAATCATTGTATGTACGTGTGAGGATTGACTGGGCAGGGGTATGGCAGAACTTCTCGGAGTGATGGTAATTTTTTTTAGCAGCTTTGATTACAGGCATGTATAATTTCCAAATCTTGTTGAACTGTACACTTAAGATTTTTGCATGTTTCATATGCAAATTTTACTCACAAAAGAATACATATTTGGTGGCTATATACTGATGTTTGCTCTTTGTTTCTAAATGAATAGAAAAAAATAAGATGATCCAATGGAAAACAGAAGGAGGGTTGAATATAAGGACAGGAATGTGATAAAGCTGTACAAGATGTTAGTGGTAGAACCCAGGGTATTACAGCTACTTACAATTCTTCCAGCTCTGATAGTTGTTTGAAAGGTTTTCTAATGAAATGTGAGTTTGAAGAGATGGGAGGAAAGGAACGCTAGCCTGCTAGCACAGATGACCTGTTCCTTACATTCCTGCTAGCTGACTCTCCCAACTGAGATGATGAACTGACCTCCACTCCCGGTCCTTGTGTACACTGGTAGCTTCTTGGCCAGATCCACAAGGATCTGCTTCTGGATCTCAGGTCTCTCTTCATTTTCATAGCGTTCCTTGTCTGTATAGGACAAGTGGAACTGCAAGCAAAACAGGCAAGGATTTACTTTCTCAGGTTCCCAGAAAGGATTAAAAGCAACCATAACTACCTAAATGAAAATATTTATTATCTGTCCTTGAACTCTAAATACCAATTTGTCTTATACATTTCTTTGGCTAAGAATCTTATGAGATAGGTGGCATTCTTTTTTAAATAACAAAAACCCCAGAATGCTTAGACAAATTAAGTATCTTATTTATTGTTGCACTCAATCAACTTATAAGTAGCAAAGCTGGTCCTGAATGCACTAATGAAATTCCAATACTTACACGCTTTCCACTCCATTATACCATGTTTGACGGTATATACAGTTGTGTAATACATTGCTGCCAGGATTCCATCAATGAGTAGGCAGACTTATTGAGTGTCAATTGCTTTTTCATAGGTTCATAATGCTGATGACACTTGCAGGAAAGCTGGATGAAACGGCTTGTGATATTGCCTGCATAATTATAATTTTGCAAATGGGTAGAAATTTGGATACCCTCACTAGTTGGTACAGAATATTTTTTTTTGCCAATTTAATGCTATATTTTGCTAATCTTGCCTAAGAAAGCCCAATTATTTTTTCCAAGTAATATGGATCTGAAAACTTTTCTTTAGTCTACACAAAAGGGTAGACAGAGGTGAAAAAGGAAAGGCTCTATTGTGGGAATTTCCGGTTTAAACCTTATTATCATGAACATAAAATAGGAAATCACTTTGGAAAATTAGACATTCTTGATCTAAACTTTCACCCTATAAAATAAAGGAAATAATACATACTTCAGAAGATTGGTGCAAAATTGCTGGATAATAACAAGTAACTCAAAGTATCATTTAGAACTCCAATTATTAATTATTTAAATCTATTTGACATTCCAGTCATTTGAATTTTAATTCTTTTTTATTTTTAAAACAATCTTATTTTGCATACCAATCCCAGCTCCCTCTCCTTCCCATTCTTCCATTTCCCCCTACCCTCTTCCCACCCCACCCCCATCCATTCCTCAGAGAGGGTGAGGCCTCCCATGGGGAGTCAACAAAATCTGTCACATGACTTGAGGCAGGATCAAGGTACTATATTGTACCTACTGTGCTTTCACTCAGAACATTCACAGCTACTAGTGATAATGAACATCTATTCATGACTTCATTGGGCCATTTGGGTATTCTCTTGAAACACCTATTTGAGTATTTTGTTCACTACAATAATTAGGTTTTTAGTCAGTTTCCTTTGAGGATGAGGTCTCTCATGGGTTGGTCATGGTCCAGTGAAGGCCACACATGCAAGAATATATGAGTAACTTAAGCTATACTTGGTGGGTTTAATAAAGAGAGGAAATGAGTGAGTGGGTGGGTAGGTCAGGGATGATGGCTCTGGGAGGAATATGGGAGGTAGTAAATATGATCACACTTGTATGAAATTCACAAACAACTAACAAAAATGAAAAAAATCAGGATATTGTCACTTTATGCTGAATTGTGGCAATCTTTCATATATTATAGATTCTACTTTTTGTTGAATATTTTTCTAACAATCTGTACCTTTCTTTCAGTCCTTTTATGGTATAGTTTGAGGGACAGAAGATCTTGGTAAGAGTGTGGATTTATACATCCAGTTTGGAAAACTTATGTACGATTTCAAGTTAAATGCATGTCCACACTATGACCTAGCAATTCCACCCCTAGTTACATAGTCAACATAAATAAAAGTGTGTGAGTGAAACATGCATTTAAATATGCCAAAAGACATATACAAGAATGATCAGACTAGGTGTGTGCATGTACATACATACATATGCACACACACACACACACACACACACACACACACACACTAATAAATGTTAAAAAAAATAAAAAGTGAATTTAAAATAGACCCATACCCAGGGCGCATTTACTGCCATTCTCAATCAGAGTGAGAATTAAATGGCCTCCTGAGGATATGTGGAAAGGCATTTGAAGCTGTCACAATAAATATGGTACATTTATAAGCATTTAATTCTTAGCCCTGAGTTCTGCTGTGCACTAGGTAGATGCATCCTAATAAGAATGCCTTAAGTAAATATTATAAATTGATAAAAACAAAACCTCTTTATTTTGTTAAATACAATTATACTAACATGAAAATGCAAATTTTTTGATTTTCATTTAAATTTTGCTAATTGAACGTAGTGCCTTGTGGCGGTGCTTTAATCTTTGAGGTATACGGTGACTGTGACTTTCTCACGGGACCCTGCACTACTTGAAGGGCACAAGCAGAAGTTGTTTCCATTTAGATGTGATAAACACACTGTGTTCACTCAACAAATAGTTTAGAACAAGCTGTCTGGCAGAGAGCATATTTCTGGCACTAACTAAGCCTTATTAAGAATTATAAAGCAGCGAGCTAATAAGAGCATTCTGGATGAGACAACTAATGACAGATTGGAATGTTGTGATCATTACACAAATTAATATTGTGGCTATTAAGTAGACCCAAAGAACTCTCCTTCCCTTTTTTACAAATTGAAAATGATAAAGATGTAGTCATAAGCATTAGGCATTTGCAGTACTTGATTAAAACCTACCATTATTTCATCAAGTTTAGGTCTATAAAATTCTTAGCCACTTAGCCTTTCTACTGACCTAAAAGCTTTCATACATAACATGAAGGGGATACTTAATTTTTATTAAGCTAAAATTAATATAACATGGTATTTTATTTATAAGGTACATTTTATACTGCACAGTTTTGCAGAATTTAACTTATTCATGCTGTGGTGCAAACAAAACTACCTAGTTCCAAAACATTTAATCACTCCAAGAGGAAATCTTTTACTTACTAAGCTGTCATTTTTTTATTCCTTTATCTCTAGGCAGACTACAACCAGTATCTGCTGTATGGATCTCTGTCTATGAATTTGCCTTCAAAGCAGTATGGCCTTGGGTGTTTGGTGTCTTTCAATTACCATATTTCAAGGTACATCTGTTATATCATATGTCAGTACTGCATTCCCTTTTATGGCCAATGGTATTCTGGCATGTGTGCATATACAGTATACATACAGACATACTGATACACAAGGAAGACATACAATACTTCCTCCATCTATTTTTCCAAGGATGAATATTTGGGTCATTTCAATCTTTTGGCTATAGTGCTTACTGTTGCCATAAAGATTTGCAAATATGTATTTACTCGAATGCTCACTTTTAATTATTTTGAGTATATACCCATGAATGGAACTTTTGGGTCACATGGTAACTCCATATTTAACCTTATGAGGAAAAGTATAGGTATTTTGCATAGCAGATATACTGTTGTGGAATACTAGTTTAGGATGTGTTCCATTCATTTATGATGTGAATATTTGTCTAATGATGCAAAAATGTGCTGCATTCTTTTATGTTGCAATTGTTTAACTCTGTGAAGCTGTGTTACTTTGCCTATCTAAAACACCTGATTGTTCTAATAAAGAGCTTAATGGCCAATAGTCAGGCAGGAGAGGGATAGGTGGGGCTGCCAGTCAGAGAGAATAAGTAGAAGGAGAAATCTAGGATGGAAAGAAGAGTGAGTATCGAGACGAAGAGAAGGAAAAGAGGACACCAGGGGTCAGTCACACCGCCACACAGCCAGCCATGGACTAAGAAGGAAAGAAAGATATATAGAATAAAGAAAGGTAAAAATCCCAGAGTCAAAATGTAGTTAAAGAGAAACAGAATAATCTGAGTTACAAAAGCTGGCTAGAAACAAGTCAAGCTAAGGCCTGACATTCATAAGTAAGAATTAGTCTCCATGTATTATTTGGGAGCTGGGTAGCAAGCCCCCCAAGAGAAAAACAACCTAACTACAATCTACCATTTTATATTTCTAGTCAAATTTGGAAGAATTGTGAATTCTTTGCATTCTTACTAATATATGCTATCTTTCATTCATTCATCTGTTCATTCACTTAATGGTTTCCTTCTTGGTGGTTTTGGTGTCTAGATTTGTATTTCCTTAAATTAGTAGTGGTGCTCATGAACTTTTCATGTCCTTAACAGAAAATTGTATATATTATTTGGAGAGAAATAGCTAGTTAAGACCTTTCTGTATTTTACAATTGGGTTATCTTTAGTTGCTGAATTATAAGAATCTTTATGTATTCTGAGCACTGGATACAAGAGATGTATGAAAATACTTTCTTTAACACTTTGGGTGGTCTTCTTACTGTTTGGTTTATTTTCATTCTGCTAATTTTCTTGTCTTTCTTTTCCTTGATGTTTGGCTTTCTACTCTTCATTAAACAGTTCTCTAAAACATCAAAATAGATTATTGAGATGTTTATTCTTTTAAATGCGTTTCCAATCATAAATTTTCCTGCGAGCACTGCTTGATCACCTCCTACAATTTTTATTATGCCACGTCTCATTTTCATTACCCTCAAAGTATTTTTAATTTTTTCCTATAATTTCTTATTCAATCCATTGGTTCAGAGTATACTTAATGGTCAATGTGCAGAAAATAAGAGACTGCAGAATTCCCAGCCCTAAATGAACATCTATATTACACCCTCATCTCCCAAGGCTCAGGAGTCACTGAAGAAGAGGGCACAGAAAGACTGTAAGAGCCTGTGTATAAGGGGATACACACATTAAAGCAGCAATCTCACACACTCAACAGGGTCACTGCACAAATGAACTCACAGCTCTTCTGGTGGCATACACAAGACTGTGAAATCTCAAGACAGACAAAATCCCAGCCTGGAGAAAGGAGTGCAGTAAGAAGTCCTATCTGCAGCTGAGGAGATATTGGTAACCGATAGCTTCTAAGAGGGGGAAATCAGTTGTATGTAAGGGTGTGGCCGTTGGTAGGTTGAATACCTTCTAGTGAACACTCAAACACTAAGGAGTAGTACATGGGTAGCACAAATGGACCGGATGGCTTTTTTTTAAGTATGGGAGAGTATGAGGACACAAAGTTGGGTGGATAGGGGAAGGGGGAAGGGTCCGGGAGGTGCTGGGGTGGGAGTGAATACACTCAAAATGCAGTATATGGAATAGTCCAAGAATTAATAAAATTAATCATTCCCCCACACTTGTGAATTTGTAGCTTTATCTTATTAATTTCTAGCTTTATCCCACTGGACTTAGAGAAAATACTTGGTATGGTTTCAATGTTTTAAATATATGAACTTCTTTGGTGGGCCAACAGATTGTCTATACTGGAAAATGTTCAATATGCAACTTGGAACAATGTATATTCTGCTATTTGGGGGGGGGGGTAGATTGCTTTATATGTATACTCCCAGGTTCTTCATTTACTTTTGATCTTCTACTTGTTCTATATACGACTGAAAATGTAGAATTGATGTCTTTCTAACTATGACTGCAGAACAGAATTTTCCCAGGTTTTGCTTCTATTTTTCAGGTTCATTTTAAAAATAGCTTTAACATATTGGTGAACTGACTCTTTAAAATTTTTGTGAGGCGGGAGATCGAATTCAACAACCTGCTAGTCAAATGCTCTACCACAGACCCATATTTAGCACATTGACCCATTTATCAATATATATCGTATTTCTTTTTCTCTTATGTTTGACTTAACTCTGTTAGAAATATTTGTGTTGTGATGGATCACTGAGCCTCACAGATACACTGATTTTCTGAGCAACAATCCCAGTCCCTCTCTTCCCTCCTTCCCTGCCTTTCTTTCCTATGTAGTCTCATGTTTGAAATTAACATAGATACCCTTGCTTTTTTTGATTAATATTTGCTTATATTTTTCTAATCATTTATTGTGAACCTGTTTATGGTAACTCTATTATAGATAGAACAAATATATTTTAACTAGACTGAAATCATGTATACATAATATATATGATACATATCATATACATATATATGATCTGATATCAATCTAGTTAATCTCAGGCTTTTATAATATATTTTCTTGAAATGGTCTCATTATGTAGCTCTAGCCATGGAACTCTCTATGTAGTGTATGCTGGACCCAAGTTCACAGACATATACCTACCTATGCTTTAGAGTACTGGTATTAAAGGTGTGTTCCATAATATTTTAAGTGTTATTTATTATTGTTTAAGATAAAAGTCTTACTCTATATCCCAGGCTGGCCTCAAATTTGTGGCAATACTCCTAACTCAGCCTCTAGAATTCTGGGATTACAAGATAAGTGACCATGTCCAGAAATTTCAGTCTTTTAAATGGACAAATTAATGCATTTATATTTTAAGTATTTTGTAGAAAAGATACTAGCCATTTTGGCCCATTATTTTCTTTCTGTGTTACTATCTTTCTCTGGGCTTTAAATTTTTTCTTTTGTATTACTTTGGCCATGTAGGAGATACTATAAAATAATATTTTTCCTGTGTTAATAGTTTTGGTAAGCTCTCTCCCATTGTTTTTTTTCTACTTCCAAATCTAATTTGTTTTAAAGCAGTTACAGACAATAAATGCCTAAGGTAACCACTTTTCTGAATTCTTTCAAATACTGCAAGAAAAAAAGTGGATTCAAGGTAACACAGCTAAAATGGGTTGGATTAACTATTGAATTTTTATTAGCATTGCCCCTTCTAGTTTCTTGCTGAGTACTATTTTAAAATAATACAGTTTCTTTTTCTTTCTTTCTTTCTTTCTTTCTTTCTTTCTTTTTCCTTTTTTTTTTCAACACAGGGTTTCTCTGTAGCTTTGGAGCCTGTCCTGGAACTCGCTCTATAGACCGGGCTGGCCTTGAACTCACAGAAACTCACCTATCTCTACCTCCCGAGTGCTGGGATTAAAGGCATGAGCCACCACCGCCCGGAAAAATAATACAATTTCATAGAACTGAACTAGATGAGGTCTCAAAATCAAAGTGGCAGAGACAAATCCCAGGTTTCTTGCTAACCCCATAATGGCTCCCTCAATCAAGATATCTCTTTCCTTGCTCTCATATCTGTCCTTCCTCCATGATCAACCTAGATAGTAGGGAGGGCCTTGTACTTACTACAGGGCATGGTGCCTTGTCCTCTCTTAGGATTGGAGGGGAAGGGGCGGAAGGGTGTGTGGAGGGAGTGGAGGAGGGGAGGGAGTGGGAATTTGGAGTGGTATTTTTTAAAGTAATAAAATAATTAAAAAATCAAAGCAGCTTCTTGTTTTAATAAGATTTCCACTGCAGATAGTGGTATCCTAGTCTTAAAGATACCCAAGTCTGGTGAATTCACAAACTCCTTCAATAGCCAATTCTACCCTTAATTCCTCTGAATGAATCCCTTATAGCTTTCCCTTAGCTGGGCTAGGTGGTATGCCACTATAGTCCTGGCTATTCAGGAGAGGTGAGACAGGGTCTCTGGAGGTTAGGAGTTCAAGGCCAGCTTGGGCAACACAGTGGAACCTTACATGAAAAAAACAAAGACAAAACAGCCTGAGTTTCTTTTAACGGAAGGTTTTTTTTCTCCTTTTGTCTTGTTCATGTTTTGTTGTTATCTTTAGATTCTTTTGTTCTTAACTTTGTGAAGCAACAAATCCTCTTACCTTCTGGTTTGGCTGCTGTGGGAGTGTGAAGATAGACTTCCAGTAGGTCCATGCAAAGAACACAAAAATGGCATGATAGAGTAGGAGGTAGATAACTGAAATTCAAACAAAGTTTAAACTTGTAATCCATCTTCAGAGTTCAAAAGAATAAAACTAAGCGACAAATGTCTATCTTTTTCTCCTATTATATACTCCGTAGTTTTATTATGAAATGTTGATTGCTACCATTTTCCCATGCAGAGATAAGAATATATGCAAAACACCAAATTTTGTACCAGAGATTTTCTGGAAATTATATCCTTTTAAAGCTGTCATGTGATTCTTCGAGTAAAGAGAGGAACTGGCCTTTGTGACAATATATGAGATGCTATTTTAGCCAGTTGTCATTATGTCTGTCACCATGGGTGCTAAAATACTACGATACAATTTGCACTTCATTAGAGTTTACAATATGCTTTTTCAAAAAAATTTAATTAAGCATGCGCGTGCTTATGTGCGTGTGTGTGTGTGTGTGTGTGTGTGTGTGTGCATGCTACAGTGCACATGTGGCATTCAGAGGACAACTTGTGAGAGTCAGTCCTCTCCTTCTGCATATGGGTTCCAGGGATAGAATGCAGTCCATCAACCTTGTCTGGCAGCACCTTTACACACTGAAGCCCAAAGCAGACTTTAATATGTCACCTTATTTTCTCAGTAACATTGTTGAGAAAGATAATGGCAGAAGGCAGGTTATTATCTGTCAAAGATAGATAGTTCGTTAATCAAGGACACACAGCCTGTAATGTAGTCTGGCATTAAATAAAGGACTACTGACTCTAAGCCCAAAGTCATTTTCAGTAGTTTCACTGACTACACAGTTAGAAAGCATAAGCTGTGCCTCTAAACCAGATGAACGCATGACTGCCCATCTTCTCATACTTTTTGCCTTTTATACAGCTCAGTATTGGTATTCTCCACCGAGCTGGTTATAAGACGGAAAGTCACTTCAGTGTTTCATTCCAAGCCCTTGAATGGCATGGTCTTAATTCAGTCCATTAAAGAGACTCAAGAGAATGAAATAATTCAAGACCTAATTAGCAAGGTTCAGCCTCTCATTTAGCTACGCTTTCAGTCCCAGTCTCTTAATACAAGACCATTTAGGTGGGAGATGATGAAATCTCATTTTAAAATTCCAGAAACACAGAGTAAAAGACAAATGTGTACTCCACATATGCATCTCACTTCTCGCCTGTTCATGTCAATGATGTGAATTATTCTAGATTTTCTCATGTTTAAATATTTATATAAATACATGCACACAATAAACATATCATCTCTACAACATCTAAAATTTAACTGTCTTTTTGTGAAATGTTAAAGTTCATACATTTTGAAATTTGAGGTAGAGAAAATTATATAGTGAAATCTCCCGTCTTTTTCAGTTACAGTCTATGTCAACAACCAATGTTATAAGCCATGACCTCAGATTTTATATTTCTAAAATAACCCAGTGTACTTTGCCATACACAGAGAAGCAGGCTGTACATAGTGTTTTGCAACATATTTCTTTTTTACTTCATTTGGAAATCATTTCACATTATATAACTTGAAAAGAGTGCACTTTCTCTTTCCTAAATAAGTCTCAGTGAAGTGACCAGCCCTAAATGAGACCCTATATCATTTTCCCCTTTTTGCCAAGGCTGAGGGACTGGCATGGGGGGGGGGTGCAGAAAGATTTTAAGAGTCAAAGTTGGGGAGGATGTCTCCAAAATATTGTTTTCTGGACACAGAAAACTGTTGAATATAAGAACTCACAGAGGCTGCAACTGCATAAGACAGGCACAAGATTAAGCCATCCAAAATCCCAGCATGTACCGAGGAGAGGCCCAACAGGTCCCACCACTTAGCTGAGGGGCTACTGGCAGTTGGTGGCTGCTGAAGGAGCAAAAGTCAATTTTCTTTAGGAATGTGGTCCTTGATAGACGTGTTCATGTTCCAATGGGTGACCCTACACTCATGAGCACCCAGGTAGTAAAGATTATACTCAGCTTTTTTAAAAGAGTATATGAAGATGGAAGGAAAGATTGGAAAGTGGTATAAAAAGTTGGAATGGGAGGCAGATTTTATCGAAATACATTGTATTCATTATAAAATTCTCAAGAAATAAAAAGTTGCATGGATTCTGTTGCAAAGATATCCTATATAATCTACTGAACCACAGTGTCTTTATTATAAATTTGAATTTTGCTTTCTCTTGCTAGTACAAATAGTGATTCCATTAATATTTTATATACATGTTATCTGCATATGTATAAAGAACATCTATAAAATTAATAAGATGTTAGTGATGCACACCTTTACTTGGGAAGCAGAAGCAGGTGGATCTCTGAGGTTGAGGCTAGTTTGAGGTCTACAGAGTGAGTTCCAGGACAGCCAAGGATACACAGAGAAACCCTGTCTCAAAAATCAAAACAACAAAAAAATTTGTAGAATCAATTTCCTCATTTGGAATTGTCAGGTCAAAAGATATGCCTCTTTCTTATTGTTTCTTTTATTGTTGATATTATAATATATTTACATTTCCCCCTTCCCTTTTCTCCCTCCAAACCATATACCCTTCCTGGCTCTCATTCAAATTCATGTCCTCTCTTTCATTAATTGTTGCTACATGCATGTATTAGTAAAACTTAAAAATTTATTTACATTCTTATCACTAATAAATAAGAGTATTTCTTTCTCCACAGTATAGCTTTTGTAAAGAATTAACACATTTTTTAAAATCCAGCTAATACTTCAAAATATTCTCTTTAACATGTTATTCTTTGCCATTATGGTTTTGTTTCTATCTTAGTGAGAAGGGATGCATTCATTCATGTTAATTCAGAATGGAATCAGAGTATGGAATCCTTGGTTTCAAAGACATCAGAATAAGATAATTTTATGTTTATATTGTCACCATGAACTTCAATGGTAATGAGATTAAACCAGTTTGGTTACATGAACAGATGAAAGTATTCTAAGGGTATTTATCGTATCTTTTATTTCAAATGATTGAGATGGAAAATGTGGCACTTTATCTTGGTCCAAGTTCTATTACACATTAACACTTGGCTTAGCTACGGAATTGGAAACAGCTGCATCTCATTCCTCTATCAAAGGATTAATATGGTGTGGATTCTTTTTGATAGATAGAAAATAAGAGATTGTGAGGCTTAATAACAAAGACACAGTTATTCAGTAGATTGATAAAATAGGGACTATTCTGTATATTTTGTAACAATCTTAGAGAGTTGGAGGAGACTATAGCAACCATCTAGTTCAGCCTCCTCAATTAGATATGTAACTGAGATCCAGAGAAGGTAAGTGATTCAATCAAGGTTACCCATGGAGGGTATGGAAGCAATGGAATCAGAATTGGGGTTTCCTCACTTCCAGTCCAGAGCTCCATGCTTAGAGCAGTAAATATCAAATTAGCAGTGTGCAAGGTGGTTGAGATGGCCCAGTGGGTAAAGGCATCTATCAAGTCTAATGCCTTGAACTGTATCCTCGAGACCTAGGTGACAGAGGAAGAGAACCAACTCCTACAGGCTTTCTTCTAATATCCACATTCTCAGTATGACACATGTGCGTGAGTGCATGCATGTGTGCGTGAGTGCATGCATGTGTGTGTGTGCACGCACACACACTACATTAAAATACCTAACAAAAATTCAGCATATATGCTTTACCAAAGACTGAACCAGTGTCTGAATTATAAAGTGCAAGAATTTAGCAACCCACCCTTAGATCATTCTGAAGAACTAGGGGGACACTGCCTTTAGGCCATCTAGTTGTCCAGCCTACCATTTCAAGGAGAAAGATTGCTCCAGATACCTGGCAGACGATAACTTCATCTCTGCCGGTGCTTTGAAGTGACTCTTGTTGAAATACAGAGAGAACTCACGAGTCTTACCTTTATGCATCCCTCTGTGCAGACAATGCTCCTGAGCTCTGCTCTCGAGTATGTGCCAGTCTGGTTCTTTCTGCATTAAAAACATGCAGCATATTTCTCTCTCGTACCCCTCTCTCTTTGGCTATTCCTTGAGACAAGTTCTCACAGGTAGTTCAAGCTGGTCTGAAACTCACTACATAGCTAAGAGTGGTCTTGAACTCTTGGCAATTTTCCTGCCTCACCCTCCTAAGTGTTGGAATTACAGACACAAGTCGCCACAGCTGGTAGGCGTACTTTTGTATAATGAATTTTTGTGTCTAGAATACCCATCCTTGTAAACCACAGGGACACTGAATCTTTTAAAAATATGATTGCTTCAGGGGGGTTTCAAATCACTAGAGAAATCAAATAGCTTATGAACAACCCTGAGCTGTCACTTCGCACTGACATTGAAATGAAATGGGAAAACGTCTTTTATTCCTTCAGAAAACAGGCACAGTGCAGTCCTTCACTTATCTGGCAGTGATTAATTGTAGGGCATCAGAAGCTACTGGAGTTAGGGTTACAGCATGAAAAACCAAAGTCTTTCAAGTGCTGTTTTTTCTTTCCTTTCATCAGATGCAGAAGTTTGCAAGATGACCAGGCAGTGGCCAAATGCCAAGGGAAAAATTCCTTTAAGCATGCAGTTGTTCTGCATTTCATCACTGTGTTGTAATGTGAAAAGCCCATTATGGGAACAGCTTCTGAAATGAGAATGACTGCTTAAGCACTTTCCCTAAAATAATGCTTCATAAACACCTTAATAAAAATTATGGAAGCTAAAATTGCATGCTGGAAATAGCATTAAAAAGTTATTATTAGCAACATCTTTGGACAGTAGGCTGCCTGATCTGTTCTGCTCTTAGGAGGTAGTGGGAAGTGTGTGTGTGTGTGTGTGTGTGTGTGTGTGTGTGTGTGTGTTGTGTGTGTGTTTGTGTCAGGGGTGGAGACTTGTGCAGACATTCTTGTATGCTTAAAAATGGATGGCATAGACAGTCGTGAATGCAGCAATATGAGAAGCAAGGTGAGAAAGTAAAGCAGCCTCCCTCCACATTCTCAGACACACAAATGCCAAAGCTGTTACCGTGGCAATTATCTAACATACCTTTTCTTTTTTCTTCTTTAAAAGCTATTGTTAGAGACTCT